CTACTTCTACTACTCCTTCCCCCCCCCCCCTTCCCCCTCCTCTCTCTCTCTCTCTCTCTCTCTCTCTCTCTCATTTGCCGCATGATTAGTTATAAGAAAAGGCACAACTGATTTCAAGTGAGAGGGAGAGGAGAAACGTTTCTTCAACAATTCCTAATCTTATAGTGTAGTATCTGATTAAGCTACTAAGTGTCGAAACTCTAAAGTAATAATTTAGGATGTAGTAGAATTTATGCATCCTTGCGTTGGACACCCTTGATTATGCATTTTATTTATTTATTCTTTTGATTGTTTAGCTCTAGTTCAACATTGTGTTACATCGCTGTTTTTCTTGTCATGTACGTATAATTTCAATTTTGTTTTTGGTAGTTCAGTGGGGCTTGGGGGCGTCCCTCCACCCTGACCACCTAACTTTGAGCTCGTTCCTACATGTACATATAATTTCCCAAATGTATTTTGCATGTATCTGTATGCAGTGGTTACATGTCTCCTGAGTATGTTCTGCACGGGCATATCTCAGTGAAGTCAGATATCTACAGTTTTGGAGTTTTGCTATTGGAAATTATCAGCGGGAGAAAGAACAATGAACGACTACCATCAGAAGAGAGTCAAGGACTGGTAGAATATGTAAATACTACATCTTCCTCATGAGCCACAAATTCTTAATTTTAAGGGAAAAATCATTTTAGGGGTCAAAACTCCTTATAAAACTATTTAGGGAGTGAAAAAATCTGTATTAGCATTAAACTTATTTTTTTCTACTCTGCATTTCACTTAAATACTACCTCAAGAAATATTTTCAGAAACACCCAAATTGCCTATATTTAGCTCTCCCAACACCGAACAAAGAAAAACATTTCCGTAACTTGATCCACCTTGAACAAGTAGGGTACTCCCTTCATTTGGTTGGGGCCTCTTAGGTTGATCAATTTACTGTTATGCCCTTGCTTATTTGATGTTCTTTAATGAGGTAACGTAGGAAATTTAGGTATTTTGAAAGATATTCTTCTTATTAAGTAAAATATGAATTAAAAAGTAAACCCCCTAATGTTAATTAACATGTTTTGACCCCCTTAAATAATATTTTCATTATCCTATTTTTCCTCTTTCTTGCTATAAAATGTTCAAAGGGAACTAATGGCTCAAATGATACAGGCATGGCATTTGTGGTCTGATGGGAGACCCATAGAGTTGATGGATCAATCTCTCGGTGAGACATGTCCAAGAAACCAAGTTTTGAGATGCATTCATATTGGGCTTCTTTGTGTTCAAGCAGATGCAACAAATAGGCCCCATATTTCTTCAGTGGTTGCCATGTTGGGAAATGACTCTTTGAGTCTCAGTATGCCCATGCCCCCGCTTATGGTTTATGGGGATAGAAACATTACAAGGTCGGATATATCTATAAATTATACAGAAGGAAACTCCGTAAATGAGGTCTCAATAAGTGCTATCCATGGTCGATAATTGGGAGCATTGGACATCAACTTTTCAGCACTGTTATGGAACATGTTTCCGTGCTTTTTTTTTATTGAACTTTGGGTTTTTATGGTGATGTATTTTTTTGTGATTTTTTCGGCTATACGTTTGTGCTAAACTTACTGGAGGGGAGTTGAAAGAAATATGAGCACCCCTGTTCATTTCATGCTACTAAGTTGTTCCAGTAGAGAACTTTTGTATTAACTAGAAAATGTGTTGCCATTTCAAAAAAAAAATTTCCACTTGCTCGCATAGGACCATGTTAACTTATGTAAAACACATAATAACGTGGAAAAATGTAGTATACCCTGTATCGTAGTGAACGGGCACTGTTACCCAACATCCACTATTCATATTTATCACAAACGGTGGATGATGCACTATCACCCAATTGTTTACTCCACTCAAAGCATCGGTGGTGAATGTTGGGTAAGAGCACCTCATACGAAATATAATATCACGATATAGCCCTCTTTTATACGCACACTAGAGAGGGAAAGCTGCTCCGTATGTGTTTTGAGTTATACGATTTAGATTTGTTTTCTCTCATCTTTAACAAATTCTCGGTCGCATTGATAGCTATCACAGGAAAAGATAAAAGTTTTAGCAATTCTGGTTGTTAATTTAGGCATTTCACCTAATTTTAGTTGATATAAATGTCGAGCATTTTTTTTAATGGGGATTGTATATTATGAAATCATTTATTTATAATAAACGGAGGTCATGATTAAACCTGCATATCAAATGTTATTCATCAAATGTTATTCAATCGCCTGAGGTACATGTCACAGGTTGGGAATGATCTTGTGTATTTTAAATGGAAAAAGTTTATATAAGGATGCAACCTTATAATGTAGAGCTACGGATGCACCTCAAAGATCATCGGGAAAGGTAGTTTTAGTGTTGAAAAACTTTTTGATTGATCATCTCGACATCGAGATGTATGACTATGAGAAATCAAAAGATTTTGTCTCAAAAAATAGTACATTTTATAACATATTATCTATACCATCAATTTTCAGGACTTTCATATGTTTATGGATCTACTTGATTTTCACTATTTTTTAAAATTAAAATTTTATTAGTAGATATAAAAATAGATCTTGAGATAATCATAAGAACATTTTACATCAAAATTACATACCATAATAAAATTTGAAGGTACACCGTACCTCTACACCTACGGATGCATCCGTATGAAAACTGCACATATACAGTGTATTAGAGCCCACACATAGTTCTATGTACTACTCTCTATTGTTTGTTCTTTTACTTTTTAGCTTTAAGAATTTCCCTCGCTTCTAACCTTGCAGTCTCTGCCAAGGCAGCCAAAGGCCCACTATTGGGCCTTTGCCATGCACCTGAAGGAGGAAAAGATCCCCTCTGCAATGGTTTTTTAGCATCCAAAGAAGGAGAGAGGCTTGGAGAGATAGACAGCAATTCATAATTGGGTCTTCGGCCATGACAACCAAATTATGAAGAGAAAGTGGGAGAGTATCACGTAATTTTAAAAAAAATTACGTTAAGAAAGATAAAAAATGGATAGACATGTAATAACAGAAACTATTCGGTACATCTGTAATAACGTAAAATATAACAGATATATGTGTAATTTCTCAAAATAAAAAGAGATCTAAATGTTAAAAAACTCAATTTTTATTTTATTTTTTGAGAATGATCATCTATTAATTTTCAAGTAATTCTCAAAATTTAAGATTGAAAACAATTCTCCCAAATAGGTCTTTTGACATGGAGTAGAACTAAACTATAATATGGGAGAGCACAATGTATATGCTCTTATATGCAAGAATATAATTTTTTTATATAAAAGTAGGGTGTGCCCTTCGTTCTCTTCTTTTTTCTTTTTCTTTTTCTTTTTCTTTTTCTATTTCTTTTTCTATTTCTTTTTTTTTTTTTTTTCTTTTTTACATAATTTTGGTTGGGAACAAAGGGGAATCATTTCCAAGAGCGAGTCTGCTTTACCAAAACGCGTCACGGATAGGGGCACACACGCTAGCTCTTACATGAATCAAATGACACATCAAAAGTCAAAAGTCTTTGTGACGACTTATCTCTTCATCAATCAAGACCAAGAGCTCAAAAGTCAAAAGTCTTTGTGACGACTTATCTCTTCATCAATCAAGACCAAGAGCTCTGCAGCTCTTTCCATCCAAAAAAAAATGAGAGAGAGAGAGAAGACAGATTAAAAACAGCAAATAAATTGATGCAGAGATTAGAGACAGACCAAATTAAGAGATAGAGAGCGAGAGCAAAAAAGTAGAGAGAGAGAATAAAGACAGAAAAAAAAAGGAGATAAGAGAGATTAGAAACAGCAAATAAATAGAGAGAGATGCGTTTGATTGTGTTTACTACTCTCTTGCCTCTTTCACTTCTGCAATTCACTCTGCTCCTGCATATAGCAGAAGCAGAAGTATATGAACTTTGTTTGGGCTCTACAAATTACACGGCAGGAAGCAGGTATGAGGAGAACCTGAATAGCCTTCTTCAATCCCTCAAAGCGGATGTCCCCATCTCGAGAGGCTTCAACGCAACCGCCTCCGGCACCAGCTCTCCCCGAGTCTATGGCCTCGCCCAGTGCAGGGGTGACACCACCACCGCCAAGTGCAGAGACTGCATGTACACGTCCACAACTGATGCCCAGCAGCTATGTCCGAACAGGAAAGAGGCAATATTTTGGTACGACGACTGCCTCCTTCGCTACTCTGATTCCGATTTCATCGGATCAATAACCCAGAATCGATTATACCTTTGGAATATATACAATGCGACGGATCCAGAGTCCTTTAACAAGGAACTTGCTGGTTTAATGAGGAACCTGTCGTCGAGGGCTATCTCTGACGCACTACTATACGCATCCGGGAACACTGTGTACGATAATTTCGTAACGATTCACGGTCTGTTGCAGTGCACGAGGGATCTCGATGCCACAGAGTGTAGGAGGTGCCTTGAAGGCGCCATTGGCGATATCCCGAGTTGCTGCGATGGTCGAGTTGGAGGTCGAGTTTTGGGCGGGAGTTGTTTTTTGCGTTACGAAACATATTCATTCTTCACGCCCTCCCCTCCACCGCCACAGGCCACGCCAAACTTGCCGCTGCCTCCACCACCGTCTGAAGATCCCAGGCCCGCTGGTAAGAAAATACTCTCAGTGAACATGTCCCTGCTTGACTCTCTAGTAATTTCATAACATAATACTGTCATAAACAGGGAAAGTTGTATCTCCGACACTTTAGTTGCACTCTGTGCTTTCCAATCCCAACCAGAACTTAAAAAAGCCATTGACCATTTAAAAAAAACCAAAAAAGGGTAAAAGCAATGTTATCAGATCGAAGCTTTCGTATTTTAACAAAATGGGTAGGAGCAATGTTATCAAATTCGCCCAAAGAGGTCGAAGCTTTCGAAATACGCATAAATTGAAGAGAAGCAAGTCTCGTACTACCGGTTCGGTCAGATTCGGCATGCTTTGATCAGATTCAAGTATGCGCTTTGATCAGATTCAAGTATGCTTTGGATTTACTTTGGGTCTGCTTCAGCTAGCAAAAAAAAACAAAAAAAGTTATATAAAAATATTTTTATTTTTTAATTATTTTTCATTTATATATATAATTTATTTATAATAAATAAATAAAACATCCAAAGTCTTCTTCTGAATGGGCCTATGCGCCGAATTGCTTCATTTTTCTCACTTCGCATAAAAAGATTCTAAAGCGAATCCGACAACGGTGGGTACGAGTCTTCTTCCCCACTGAATTACCAAAAAAAAAATATGAAGTAGTTAGGAATTATGAAGTATAGATGTAGCATATAAACATTACAGTATATGCATTTTCCACTATCCAATGGCAGTGAACAACGGTGGGGATGAATCGCATCTCCGTTTGAGCTGGTAATTGTAGAGAATGATTTCATCGTTTCCGTCCATTCACGATCACAGTTTGTGGATGGTCCTCAGGGAGCAAAATGGCTATATTTTCCCGTTTTCATGCATCACTAGACTTTCCCAAAAAGAAAACAAAAAAAAGTAATTAGGGTCCATTTTGTTGACTATCGCATTCATGAAGGTGGTCCCAAAAAAATATTTATTTATTTGGTTGGGTATGAACATTCATGTAAGAACTCCTTCAAAAGTACGAAAACTTTATACAGTCAAACTTTTACGCGTGGTCCTGCCCACCCATTTGAATTGGCGCCACCATCACAATTTACTTTGGGTGAGGTTTGTACATGGTTCTCTCTTTTACTACAGGGGTAGGGCAAACATATAAAAATTTGCTTAGAGATATTTTTTCATTGTCAAAATCGTGATGATTGTTTGAAAATATATTTTTATCCCTATTTTGGTTTCAAAAATAATACAAACGTCGATAAATACTTAAAATCTTGAAAATAGATTGTCAACATAAATTTTTAAAAGATGCACTCATTTTTAGACTTTAAATTTTTTTTTTTTGTTGTGTCCATATATCTTGAGGTCAAAATGATCAGCTGCAAGGTTTTCCAACATCGGAACACTCTCTTTTGTAGGATTTTTGTGGTCTACCTTACTTCAATAGTATAAGGTTGCAACCATATATAAACTTTTTCTTCTATTTTATGTCGTTTCGAGTCCTTTAGAACTTGGACAATGCATCCAAACTTTCACCCACAGATTTATGTTGTATTGCTAGATGAACAATTATTCAGATTGGGTATGGATTTGAATTGACGATTCAAAAAATATTAAAAAATAAATTAAATTAAATCAAAATTAAATTAAAGATTCATAGCATCTGAATATAGAGGGGAACCTACACAAATACGAATTTAGCAAAAAATAAAAAACATATCTAATAAGAACGTTTTAGGGGGAATTCAGGACCCATACCGTCCAAAACAAGTTTGACCCTAATCAATTCTCATCTACATTGGTGATTCAGATAAAAAATTATGTGGTTTTAAAACATTGGTCTTTTCTAAAGATAAACTTGATATGAAATCTTTTGTTCTGTCCAATTTAGCATTTTAAAACCCAGTGATTTTTTATCCGGATGGCCATTGGTCAAGATCAAGCCATGTCTAGGGCGGTATGGGTCCTAGCCCAATTCTCCCGTCCCTTTACATAATCTTCTTCACATTTTTAAGCATATTTAATGTTTCTTTTAAGTCCCACCACCTATATACTTCTATTTAAATTTTATTTTATTATTAATGTTTTCTTGATCACATATTTAGGCTTATCTAGGCTTGATCCAGATCGCCAAGCCTACAATTTGACATAGATCTGTGGGTGAACAATTCGTCTCGACGATCCAAGTGTCTAAACACTAGTACATTCTTTGGAGGGGCACACTTAGTGATTAAGAGGAATAGTAAAATAAGTTGACCAAAATGGGCATTTTAGCTTTGGATGCGGTTAGCATGCAGCCAAGCCCACACTTGTAGAAATGTAGGCCCCTTAATAAATTTGTTTGTGAAATAAAATCCTATCTTAATTTTCTATAGCAATTTTATCGAACATTGTGACACACCCAAGCTATCGGATTTCACATCGGATGATTATGAATAATCACAAATCCTCATTACAGAATCAAAATCAGTATTTCGAGGCTCGGCCGAGGCCACTTGGACTCAGCCTATTAGCTCGGCCTCGTCCTAAGGGTGAGGCGAGTTTATCCGAGTAGGTTATACCAATTTTTAGATAGTAAAAGTGTATTGGCGTGCATTTGTGCGTTCTTTTTACATTGGGGTTCGATTCCCTCAAAGGTAAGGCACTTTTCTTTTTTTTTTCTTTTGTTTTCGGTTTTTCTTTTTTTTTGAGAGGGGGGGTTAAATGGAGAGCATATGCGCGTGCTTTTTGAATAGTGTGTTCATAGAGAGCAACATACAAAAGCTAGATGAGTCGACCAATACAACACTCAAAGCCTTATTTATTATATTTCGTCTTCATTGTCAATTCTTTTTTAAGTGAACATGATTGGAGCGAGTTAGTCAGACTTGGCCGAGAAACTCCAAGTACTATGACCAAGTCGTGTCTCAAAACACTGATCAAACTAATAAAGTTTATATGAACATATCTATACATTGATTTAGTTAAAAAATGAAAAAATATGATTCTTTTTTTTATATGTCGAAGTTTGATATGGGTTGAAACGGATTGTGCTTATCCAGCATCTCGTATCATATGTAGTTTTTCAATCATTTAAAATTTCAAGTAGAACTTCACAAATTCTTGGCATCTATCAGCATTCACATTTACCTTACAATTTCACTGGATCAAGGAGTCAAACAATCATTTTCTCTTGGATTGATCTATGATAAGAATTTAGTACATGCTATATATTTTCAGTTTATCTTTGTCCATAGATGAAGCGTATCTCATATCACTCTTGCTAGTTTTTCCTTGAGTAGAATGTATGACTAATTGATTCAACTGCAAATACATGTCTGATTTGAAGAAAAAATGATTCAAGTGTAAAATGGTTTTATTCTTGATGCAGATGAAAAGAAAAAATCATCCACATCAAGCATTATCATTATCGCGACAGTTATTCCAAGTGCAGTTCTTTTACTAGCCATATGCCTGTTTTGTATATATAGAAGAAAGACGAGACAAAAAGGTAGGCAGGTTTGTTGGATTAGTTCATTTGAAGTGATTTGAACTCCTTCATTCTTTAGTTAATCTCAAGAGAGGAGTAACTGGTGATAAATACCATGGTTCTATTCATTATTTCTTTAATGCTGTTTGATTTGATAGGAAGGAATGATCAAAGCCATGTATCACTTAATCAGAACGAGAGATCAAATACTGGGGACAGAAGAGAACAAATCGGACATGGTGGTGTCGGAGGAGATGAAAATACGTCATTGCTTTTTCATTTAGATACCATTGTAGCATGCACTGACAATTTTTCTGATGCAAATAAGTTGGGAGAAGGGGGGTATGGTCCTGTATACAAGGTAAACTTGCTTCTTTGAGAAAGTCCTTCGCAGATTAGCTAGTTTTGTGATTTTCGTCAATAAAGAAAGGAAGATAATTCTTCACAGGGGAAGTTGCAAGATGGGAAAATGGTTGCAGTGAAACGCCTTTCAAAGAATTCAGGACAGGGCTTAGAGGAGTTCAAGAATGAAGTCATCTTGATTGCCAAACTCCAACATAGGAATCTTGTGAGGCTCCTTGGATTTTGTTTCGAAAGACAGGAAAAACTTTTGGTTTATGAATACATGCCCAAAAAGAGCCTTGACACCATCTTATTTGGTTTGTATCCAAACTCTACATTGATTTTATGATGTTCATGCGTACATTTGCATGTATAAGAGGAAAAACTTAATGTAAGGCCTAGGTTTTAAAGTTGTACCTCATATTTCATCGGAAATTGCAGTTTCGGCACTAGAAAACCCTCAAAGTGATCATCCGCAACTTAAAATATAATAGATCGGAAACCATAAAAAAGGTATGTTTTTGTGACAAATTATTTGGACTATCCATTTTCAAATGTTCACATATCCACTAGATTTGTGCTAATTTTGGGAAATTACATTTTGTAGCGGGGTTTTGAGTTATTGCTTTCCATTCCCATCATAAGACTTGGGCTTTATGCTAACCGCATCCCAGGCTTTATGCTAACAACATCCTATTTAAAATGTTGAAATAAGCATATATATGATTGAGACACAGAGACAACATGATTGAGTCAGAGACAACAAGCATCTGTTATTCACATGAAAATATTATGCAGATCCAGAAAAGAGCCCACAACTAGATTGGATGAAGCGCTTCAACATCATTGTGGGTATTGCCAAGGGACTTCTTTATCTCCATGAAGACTCTCGACTAAGAATTATTCACCGCGATCTCAAGGCTGCCAATATTTTGTTGGATAGCGATTTAAATCCTAAAATTTCAGACTTTGGAACAGCAAGACTTTTTGGAGGGGATGAAACTCAAGCCAACACCATCAATATTGTTGGAACATAGTAAGTAATTCATTCCTTTGTAATCTTAGTATTCAAGCAAATGGGTTCCCCATTAACTCAATCTCAGCTCTCTCTCTCTCTCTCTCT